CATCTGTCCTCTCTGTCCAAAATGTGAACATTGGCATCCTCGAAAGAGTGACCTTATATTGTTAAAAACGTTACAGTTGGAGGTGGTTGAATTCAGGACACAGAAGTTTCAGTTATGTAACTGCAGCTATAGTATAGCCTTTTTAAAACATTCATTCTTGAATAATCAGGCCCCATCTTATCTTAAAGACATTAAATTCAAATATTAATTTTTACAAAATTTTCCTTTCTGTTTGTTAACTGCTTGTACTGTTACTTGGGTTAACATTTTAAATCCTTAAGACTTTTAGTTAAATACTCATTATGTTTTTAGCTGACCTTGTTTTTAATTAGCCACATATTTAGCCTTCTTTGCTTTGTTCCTCCATGAAATCTGTTTGGGAATCATTAAAGGTCACAGTTAGTGACTAGCTAGTTAAAGGAATAAAAGAGTCAGATCTTTATCTGAGCATTTGAGTGAAGATATAAAATAAGATTAAATATTTGATTCAGGTAGTAGAATGGTTATGCTGCTCAATAATATGACATAGCTTTATCAATCAGTCGGTGTAACTTATGTAAGATGTACTTCAGTCCAAAAAAGCTCCATATACTCTCCTCTTTCTTTAAGCATGTTAATTTAACATTTGTCCATTGGTATATTTCTGTTTTCCCACAGGTCCTGTGAGTATAACTGTGTGACTGTAAAATGGCGCTGCCAGCTAAGCACATATGATCTGACATGGAGGCCATCATTGCAGTCAACTCCACACAGGACGAGCTCCCACCCGACGATGACCCCCTTAACAATGCTTTCCTCGAATACGACCCTAACACTGGTGTCGCTCCCTCAGCTCTTCCTACACTGGCATTTGAAGGAGTGAATTTCTTAGAGGACCCCATCAGCCTACCAAGTGTACAGGTATTGGTCTCACTTCCATTAATTTTTCCATTATGAGGAAACACATGAATAATTTATCCACTTCTAGTGCCTCAAATCTGCCTGGCAGGCCAACAGTGTAATAACTCACTGGAAATGATGGGCTATCACAATAAAAAAATATAGCATTTATTCACATATACTTTATGAATTTGCCTAAATGATTTTTCCACCTTGCTATACATAACTATAGAATAGAATTCAACTTTATTGTCATTGCACATGTCACAAGTACAGGCAACGAAATGCAGTTTGCATCCATCCAGAAGTGCTTTAGCAAT